GCAGCTGTGAATGAAACACAGACACAGATATACATGCACCTACTGTATATTCTTTTTCAATGACTGCAAAGCCAGTGGACTGGATTCTCTCTGTGACTCAGCATTTCACAAATACCTAAAATCAACCTTTTAGCCTTTAAACCAGTTTAATCTTATCTCACAGGGATGCAATAACAAGTACACGCATGCAAAAACACACCACCTCATATCAAAAGCATCTTATTTCTAGTAAATATCAGAGGTGTTCAGAAGATATATTGGGGTCGATTACACAAACACACAAAAGACTGTGTGTCTGTCTGTGCAAAAGAATTTAAAGTGATATATGAAGTGTCAACCTTCCTGTTGCATTTCTACTAGTGTTGTTGCACTGTCTGTGAGAGGGAGGGGGTCCTGACGGAGGACTGAGGCAGTTTGATCAAGTTCTTTTGCCAATCAAGGACAAGGTTGGCTGCATCGTGTAATATTGTTGCAATCACACCGAGAAGCACGCAAGCATGATTCATACATCATCATTTTACGCTCATCAGCTATCAGATGTGTTTGCTGGGACAAGATGGAGCACCTTGCAGTGAAGGCCTGAAAACAAGTATGTGTAAGGGACAACTTGTAATTTGTTTTGTCACATTGAGGAATGTGTTGTCAAGAGCTGTGTCCACGCTAAATCAAACTTCTAGAGCTGTAGAAGTGGAAAGCCTAAAAGCCAAGGTGTGCAAGATGATCCTGATGTCGCTGTAATGAAGCAGCCAATACAGTCGATCATTTCAGAAAATAAATTGTTTTTCAAAGTGTTTTTCTCAAGAATATTATCAATGCATAAACTGGAGTTTACACGATCAGATGATACAAGAAACTTGTTGGCAGATTTAGTCAACGATAATCACTTTTATTGGCCAAGTATGTTACACACAAGGAGTTTGTCTTTGGCACAGAAGCGAGGCAGCCATCTGCAGCGCCAACTCACACAGTGATGGCGATGCTGTCCCTGCAAGGCGCTGCTCTGACCATCAGAAGCAAATTTGGGTTCAGTGTCTTCCCCAAGGACACTTCGACACATGGACCAGGGAGAATGGGAATTGAACCGCCGACCTTCCAGTTGGGGGTGGACCACTCTACCTCCTGAGCAAAACGAAAAACAAACTGATTTGCACACAACTGAAAAATGTAAAGATATGCTAATAAAACTCTATTGTTGACTTCTCTATGATAATAGATGAATAGCACTGACCAACAGGTATCTAAAGTCACTGAACATAAGCTCAGAGGTCAGAGGTCAGAGCTGCAGTTCTGGCCCAGTTACAGTTAAATCTGTGCCTCCTACAGGCAAGAAAAAGTAACTGTGGCAATTCAGACCAACAAGTAGAGGCTAAGTGAACCATCTACAGACAAGGAAATGGCTGCTGTCATTTGATACCTACAGAAAACGAATGTTAAATGGTCAGTATATAACTTCAGATGTTCTCGCCAGATGGACAAATAACTTCTGAAACCCACTGCCCTAACACATTGTCTACTATTTCCATAACTTTCCAAAACATCCAGTCAGTAACTTCATGCTGTCCCTGGCCAGCTGTGCAGAGCTGACCGAGTCTGAACTACTCTCTCAGCTCCAGTCTTTGTCCCTTTTAGTACGAACAACCTAGTGCAACACTATGAATACCCACCAGGAGAGACTCCATTATCCCATGTTTAAACAATATCCTATTTTTGTGACTGTTTGACACAATTATAAAACACTGGTCTGTCATAACCTGACACTTAGATCTGCATTATCTGTCTTGTCTTTCACATTCTAGGCCTATATGCATTGACTTTGCAAAATGACATTAAGGCCACAGACCTCATAGAGCTGCAATCATTGTATGTCTCTTTCTGGCTACTGGCTACTGTTAATTAATCTTAATTACGTTGTAGGAGGTGGTAAGACACTAAGTTCTGTGCTTGGTACTGAATGTTTGAGTTAAAAACTTGGGTGTTTATTGATAATTTCTGATGTTTGTTAATACAGCAGCTGATTCAACAGGGATCTACGCTTACCATTTGGGTCAGTGGTTTGATTATAAAGTTGGAAAATCATTAGTTCTAGTTCACAGATCATTAGGACAGGAAATAAATCATTTTAATTTATACAGCTATTAAAAGCTAGCACTTGGTTTAACCACAAGCTGAACTTGATCTGCCAGCAGGTGCTACATACATCAAACATGGTGTAATACCATTTACTGCCATTGGTGGCAGCACTGGGCACATTGCCGCTAAACTGTGAAAGATGAAGAAATTATGTGCAATTTTTAAGCAGGAACCTCGATTTAATGACGCTCACTTCACCAGAGTAGACTGTTTGCACTGTTTGTTGATATTATTCTAATAGGTCGCTGAGAAGTTTACTTTTCCTCCATTGAGTTCAGATTTTAAACATTGTTCTATTAAAGTCCTTTTGAGAATCGAATTCCTGAAATGGGACAGACGTGCAACAGAAACAGTCCTGTGTTAGCTAGCTGATATTTAAATCTATTATAAATACCTCACAATATGCCATAGATACAATTTTATTTTACTTATAAAACATCAACTTGCACCTTTTACTAGCTTTGAGATGTATGTTTCTTATAACTATTAATGTGTGTGAGTTGATTTGGTTAATCTATTATTGTAAATTAACACAAAAAGGGTTACCTAGCTAAACATGTGGCCTACATTTTAACCTTGTGATAATAGCAATTTATTTTTTATACACATAAGGACATTAATTGTGATTTTAATGAGCCCTGAACCACAGCAGTTTCTTAAAATGCTCTGTTTTTCATCAGGGGTCATTAAGAATTTTTGCACAGGCAGATTAAAGTAAAAAAACAAAATAAAAGTGATGCTCAACACAAATTGTTGTGCTGGATTGTGTTATATTACTGGTGTCATTTCCATCTAGGAGAACAAACATCCATCTACAATTCACAGCTGCAACTAAATGAGCGGTGGTGCAGCTCTGCAGTTTTACTATGGCTCCAGTTTAATAAGTAAACCCATTAAGCCTAGATGACATTTTCAAGAAGCAGCAGTGTTTTGCGGCTGAATGATAAGAAGTGATTTATAATATTCTCTGGTCACAACTGAGACAGAGTGAGGACACGGTTACAGTGATTCAGGTTCTCCTACAGAACCGCAAAGAGCTCATTACCAGAAATGGCAATATTGTCCTTTAAGCATGAAACACGTCTAAACCTTGGCCTATATTTCTGTTGCAACAGATGACTGCCAAACTAATGCACATTATTTAAGGGCACACACAAGCAGCCTTCAGGCCTATGGACTGTAACTGACAGACACAGATAAACACAAACAGCCCACAGCTTATCCTGGGTAATATTTCATAAAATGTGGCTTAATGTGCTCTGACAACCTACTTTCCTCTGAGAGTACATTAAGATTTAACTATCTTTACACAAACCACCATATGAGTTGACCTAAATAGCACTGGATGTGCATAGACGGCTGTGCCTTGCCATCACAGGGGAGCAGCTACATGCTTGTTGATGCAGTTTAATGTCTCTTCATACTGGCAAAACAATGTGAGCATATACTGTACTGTATTTACTGGACCTGGCATTTTAAAAATGTTTATATCAAACAACAGCAATTCATATAGAAATGTCTTGGCTAAATTATGAGCAGTGTATGTAGAAAACTGAGAATATAACATGTTATAACATGAATTTTAGACAGTAAATTCCAACTAGAAGTGGGCTCTATAGATAAAATCAGTAAATTTAATTTACTGAATATACTGTGACTGTATACACTACAACACTCCTACTATACTATAATGTATAGTAGTAGTGTTTCTTGGAAAATCAAATGAATACCTGTATGAAACAGTCAGGCAGGAATGACTGATATGGAAACACTTCAAAACAATTTAAAATACATTGCTTTGGTGCACAAATCATATAAAAACCCAGTTTTCATAACATTGTCTGCAACAATGTATACAGCCAGAGACATTTAAAAGGTAGCCCAAATTATCATACTTATTTAAATGTCACAAAATGCTAATAATAACTATGAACAACATCACCAGTTTAACAATATACTGAACTACTGTATACTTAAGAGAAGTAAAAACATTAAATTAGCCAAGTAAATCACATTTAGCAATTCTGTACAAATAACACTGTATTCTCTGAGAGAGCTGTGATAATATTGGCCATGTATTGGCTGGGTTCTAATATAAAATAAATAAATGCAATATTTTAATTCTTAAATTCTTGTGCTTTATTAAGTAGTCTACAGCTGACTACATCTAATGCAGCCAGAAGTCTTACAATACGTCATGAAGTTGCTGAAACTATAACGATTTTATAAGGTGCAGTTAATGTGTTTTCTTATACTGAGTATTGATCATAATATTTTGTCCCCATTGTTACCAAGACTCTCACCACTTCTATTTATCCTAAAGTAAACCACAAAGCACCGGGGTGTGCAGGGAGTTTAGAAAGTCGTCTGTACCGACCGCTGTGGAGGCCGCCTGCCGGAGCCTGAGCCTCGGCCCGACTTGTCGGTACACGGAAGTGAAGCGGTCCCAGCGGAGCTGTGTTCGGAAACAGCCCAGGGACCTGCTGGGGTCACCGGGTTCAGAGCCTCGATCCTCCCGCTGTCCTTAAAGACGGGTCGTGTGACCCCGCCCCTGTGACGACACCGTGTCGTAGGCACAAACCATATCCGTTTTTCTTCGCTTCAATAAAAGCCAAGCTAGCACGTGTGAACGAGCACGGAAACGGAAACACCATAGTATGCTCTTCAGAATAAAAGCTGCCTAGTCTCTTTGGAAGATGACAGGCGTGATGACCTTATGTCCCTGAAAACAAGCAAAAGCAACATTATATTTCATGTACATTTAAAAAAAAATCGGCGTTAACAGACTTACTATCATACCTATTTTATTCTAATTGACAAAACTATTCTTTTCACACCTGGACTCTGTGAATCAGGTTTACATTTTTAAATATTTTATTGGAGTTAAGAGGAAGCTTTTTGTCATTGTTTAGCATAGTTTAATGTAAAAAAATCCATTTATTCCATTTCAATCTTTCTTCAGGCCACACACATCCATTATCTATACCACTGATCCTAACAAGGGGGGTGAGTGGACTGATCCCAGTTGACACTGGGTCAGAGGTGGGGTGCACCCTGGACAGGTCTCCAGTCTGTCATGGGGCTGACAAATACACTCACATGCACAATGTGATGTATAAAATGTACTTCTTTGTTTTCGGCACTTGTTTGGCTGACGAACAAACACAAACGATGAACCTTCTGTACAAATTCATCCAATGTGATTCAGTTAACTAATTGTAATGTATTGTTGTACACCATGTAAACCTTAAGTGAACAGAAATTAGAAAGAAAACAGTTATAATTTCCAGCTTGTTGAAACGAATACTCACATTTTGCAAGGCGATTTTTATTTTGAAACCAGCGGACAGAAGTTAGACACTTTCATTTTTGGGGCTTTGACACTTAGTCAACGGGATTATTCACTTACTCATGCACACCCCCCCACCACCACCACCTAATCCGCCTTTGAGAGCAGCAACTGTTATTACAGCTGACACACTTCCCATCTCGATCAGGTCTGTGACTTTGTCTTTACGCTCCGCTGATCCCTGAAATATGTAGCTACCCTGTGCGTAAACAACAACAAAGAGGATTCATAGCCTATAACAACACATCCAGCCGCGCCGATACACGCCCTCCATCTCTCTCTGTGTTTATGCCTCCTTCTCTTTGCAAAAAAAAGTGGTTGTAAAACCGCGGAGCAGGTAGAGAAAGTGTCATGCTTCCTTGTCCTCTGCGTCCTGCGGACGGCACCGTGTCCTGCACGGGAAGGCTCCGCGTTCCGAGCCTGTTAAACTTTATTAATAATAAAGTAATTGATTTGAGGAAAGCGGTGACTGATTTTATTCCCCCACCCTCTCATCTCCAAAACGGTAGGCTTCTCTACCAATGGAAGGGAGGCAGAGACATGAGGAGGAGGAGGAGGGGTGGTGGTGGTGGAGGCGCGGGGGGTGTTTAACAGTCCTACAACCATCTTTTCTGTCCCGTTTATCCGCCATATAGGCCACCTCGATACTATTGTGAACTAACTTCCTGTATGTGGCTGTAGGTTCAGCGGGACTGCGGGGCTGATCGGCCGCGGCTGCTCGTACTGGTTCCTTTTCTCCTCTCTGTGGATGGTGCGTAATAATATCATATGGAAAGACCGAGGCCGACATTTTACCCCGGTCCGGAGGAGCCTTAACTCCGAGGGGACATCCGAGGACACGCGATAAGGTAGAGTCCGGCTCGCAGCTCTCTGCCTGCAGTTTATAGGCGAGTAAATGCATAATTACACAAAGTTTGACGACTGGGAAGTTACTGACAAGTAGTTAAACCGTCGCAGAAGCGCGTTTGTAAGCTTTTAACTGTCTTCTGTGATAAAAATGGCCACTTTTCCACGGATTTACACAATAGTAGCGTGCATGGCACAGATCTTCACTTGATTAGAAATATGCTCTGTCCGGAAACATTATTCATCGACATTTGTAACATTTTAGAGGCTATTTAAAAACTGGTGCCCTGTTACATTTCTGCAAGCCTCTTTCACTATACGTTTCACATTTATATCCAACTTATAATAATTTTTGCATATAATTCCCACAGCTTATTGTATACGTAGGCAGATAAAAATGCTCTGTGTGTGTGTGTGTGTGTGTGTGTGTGTGTGTGTGTGTTTTCCTTAAATAGCCCAAACTTTACAGTTTCATGGCTGGGCCTGTAACATTACCACCACCAGAGGCACCTGCAGCAGGACAGAGAACAGCCAAACTTGTGCTATGATCCATTCTTCGCTTCAACTTTAATATTTAACAAAAGCCAGAGGTGGCTCAAACAGAAACCTCCTGTGTGTCCTCATGTAGCTCGACCCGTGAAACGCTGATGCCGAGCCACATGCTCAGAAATCGGTCGTATTAACAATTAATATTGGACATCCGGTGGCACTGCCAGCTGCGCCCCATTTTTATTGTTGGCTGTGCGCTGAAAGGATCCCTGTTGTCTCGGCCGGATACTCCGCGACGCATGGTGGCTGCCTTTGGTAGGAATTTATGCTGAATTGTTTTCAAAAATAAAAAATGCATGAGATGTGAATGTGCAGTGTGAAATGAAGGAGAGGGTCTGGATGTGGATGTGCGGCTCTTCTGCTTGCCGTGCCATGCGGGACACGCTGCTGGCTGCCACCATGGCACCTTCCCTTTCCTGCTCTGGCTCTGTGTGTGCTGCCGTTAATGTCTCCAGCTGTGCGGACGCACAGCACCGTCATGCCCCATCAGTTTTGTTGCACTGATCGGTTCATCGGCAGATTGAGAGGTTTTTTTCAGGCAGAGTGTGGACGCGCACTGGATGGGCAGCGAGCGAGGCGAGGGGCGGTATACGGGGCCACTTCTGGCTCTCCATCGTTACGGGAAACGGTGCTCCAAGGACACGGAGAGGAGAGGCAGGAGGCGCATCCAGGTCGTTTAGGGTGTTTGCTCATTGTTTTCTTTGCCGTGAGCCAAGTTTTTTGTGTGTAACTAGAGGAGAAAGCGTGATTTCTCAAACAAGACGGAGCTTTGTCCGCCGCCCAGCTTTTTGGAGCTTTAATTTGGCAAATTGGCTTCCCAGACAGACCGACGGCCAGACCGTCTCTGCTCCTCTGCTCTCCCGTCTTCTCCTCGCTCTTTTCAGCCACGCTCTCTGCCATCACAGGTTCTCTATGGACTCTATGCCTGCTTTACTTTTTTCTCAACCTCGTTCTTGTCTCTCCGTGCGTAACCTCCATCCATCCATAACGGAGCTGTCATACTGGAGGGGGTGTGTTTTTTTCTAAAGAGGCCTCTAGCTGCTAAAGGTTCGTTGTCTGGTCACAATGCTCACACTCTAATGCTCCAAACTAAACCATGGTTCACTGTCAGAATGACTTGCATCCATGCTCACTTGTGCTTGGCACGTGTTCGGATGAGAGGAATTGTGCGTTATAATCTGCTATAGTGAGCGTGTAATAGTTTTATTTTGAAAGTTTCTATATAAAACATTTTCGCAAGGAAAGCAGTGATACCATATGGGACAGAAGGTACTGTAAGAACAACTGAAACAGCAAACACATTAGTGTTGATGATAAAGTACTGTATGACCATTGACTTTTATGTACCTTTTGTCCCTTATATTGATGCTAAATGGAAAATACCACAGTGGAGTCATATGTCCACCCTGCTGGAAAGTGTGGAGCTAAACCAGTTTGTTGATTAACTGATTACTGGCTGGCTCTTCCTTCAGCTTCGTGGTTGTAGGGATTCCATGAATTTCTTTGTCTGATTTGATGGCAGATTGATCTGGCGCTCCGGTCATGGTATAGCACCCTGTTAGAGATTCTGTTTCAGGAGCTCTTCGCTTGAATCAGCTGAGTTCTAGATAGATGTTATAAGCTTACTGAAAGACTTATTAATGTAGAACCCTGGACTCTTTTCACTGTGCTCTGTTTTGTTGTCTTTTGTTAGTTTGTTTGTTTTTTTGCAATGACGCCTACGCATGGGGTGGGGCTGGGAGGGAGGGCTGGGCTTTGTTTGTTTGCTGTGTTCACATGTTCAAAAAGTTAAATAAATATTACATTACAAATAAATAAATAAATAAGACTTAGTTTGGCTACACAAGCTGCCTGAGGATGTCACCTTGGACTTGAGAAAATGAGGAAACTAGCCTAATTGCCAGTTGCTGCAGTAGAATATACAGTAGCAGTGTCTTGGTAAAGTACATTACAGCATGATACAAATTCATCTGAATACCCTGTGTTACATAACAAGTGGTTCCAAGGATATGGGGTCATTTTTATTTTGCTTCTTTTCTGTGCCCACTCAGTGCTCAGGATAATTGCTTCAGTGTGTTGCTAATGCACTAATGCAAGAGTTAGCTGTGAGCATTCACGTGGCTGGAGAATGGTTGAGAGGACACTTAAATGTCCTCTGTGGACTGATGTACCTCATAAGGGAACATTAACTTTCTCCTGAATGAGCTGCACATGAACCTAAGTCTTCCCACACTGTGACTGTCAGTGTACGTGTTTACTTTGTCAGTTTGCATTCTGTGTAGTTGTTACATAAGCCACAGTTCTGTTGGCATCTGCTTCGAGCTTAGAGTCCCGTTTACAAAGGGCTAGAAGAATCTTGAGCTGAACGTAAATGTTTGAGATGAAGCAATTTCCTTTTGTTTCTCGGTTGCTTTTCCGTGAACTCTGCCAGTCACAGTGTGTTATGAGCACGGAGACCTTTGGACCGAGCCCTGTGTTGAGCCACCGCACATTAAATAATTGAAGGGTTGTTATTGCACAGAGGCATGCCCGGCTTATATATAACTTTAAGTATGAACAAATATAAGTAGAAGTCTGTTTGCATCAGTTTTCACTGTGCACATTTGTCTTGTAAAAGCAGCACTGGGATGCTGCTCCCTGATAAATGAAAGAGTGAAATCACTGATGTGAATGTGTGTGCACTGTGAGATCACAGATGTTTGGACAAATGTGAAAACTTTTCTGACAGAATGGTGCCTGATATGATATGAACAGTTTCTCTTATCTATCATGTTTGCAAATATATGTTTTTAGTTCAGAGTAAGGAAACAAACGCTCATAATTTCCACTTGGACAAGTTGTACTGTTGGCACAAGCAAACAGCCGACATAAAATAGTCGTAACCCTTACACAAACTCACAGGGCTCTGTGTGTCTCACATGCTCCAGCTCACAGTGCTGCTGCTGCTGCAACTTCATCATAAAGATGTAGTACATTTGTAGCTTCTGGGATATTCATTCAGTTTGTGCCTGGTAAGTGTTTGTGTGCACAATATATTGGTAGCTGGCTTGCTTTGTTTGCCAAATACCGGTTTTCCATGTAGTGTGCCAAGGCACTGTCATAACCGCCCAGCCGATCCTCATTTCCTCATTCTTGTGCACCTGAGGTCAATCCATAGAGAACGTATTAATGCCTTGTTCTCGATTCGCTAAACCCTGATCAGTGTGAGCTGGTTTCTCCTGGTTTTCCACAGGTGCTGAACAGCAGGTCTGCATTGTTCCCGCAGTGTGTGTGTGTGCGTGTGTGTGTGTGTGTGTGTGTGTGTGTGTGTCTGTAAGTGTTGCTCTGTGTTTCATCATGTCCTTGTCTGAAAACAGCTCGGTCTGATTCGTAGATTTCACCGAGGCCTCCTCTCTTCTCCTCTGAGGCAGAATTGGATTTTTGGTTTCATAAACATTAAATGAAGCAGCACTTCTCAGCAGGTGGAATCAAAGAAGCAGCTCTTCAGCGGACAAGTTAGCTGGGTTAAAGAAAAAGGTTGGATATATTATGTACTGTGTCAAAATACCAAGTGCACAGTGAATGCATCTTAACAAATGTGTTTGTATCCAAAGTGTGATGGATCCTCTCCGTCTGTGCCACAGAGCACCATTGTCGTTCAGGAACTACTTAAACGCATCAGTAACCACACTGTTGCACTGGGTTACATGTTACTTTGTTACCATGAAAACACACACAATGTAGTTGGGGGGTTTTGTTGTTGTTGTTGTTTTGTTTACTCAGTCCCACTACACTCTCCTGCTGCCACAGATACTGGAGAATCAAATGTGGATTCATCCACCGCTGAAAACAGTCCCCAACAAACACACTGTTTCCTCCTTGAGTCAGGTTTGCCTAAAGCTACAGTGGCCGGATGTTTAAGAATATTACTGAGCTTTTTCAGGTTTAGACCGTTTATTTTCTGTTTTCATTGGGCAGCACGGTGGCACCGTGGGTAGTGCCATTGCCTCACAGTGAGAAGGTTCTGGGTTTGCGACTTTTCTGTGTGGAGTTTGCATGTTCTCCCCCTGCTTGCGTGGGTTTTCTCCGGGTACTCCAGCTTCCTCCCACTGTGCAAAGACATGCGGCTTAGGTTGAATGGTGACTCTAAATTGCCCCTAGGTGTGTGTGTGTGTGTGTGTGTGTGTGTGTGTGTGTGTGTGTGGTTTGTCTATGTGTTGGCCCTGTGATGGACCGGCGACCTGTCCAGGGTGTACCCCACCTTTTGCCTGATGCCAGCTGAGATTGGCTCCAGCCCACCCACCCCTTGAGCCCGTTCAGGACTAAGCGGTATGGAAAATGAGATGAGATGAGAGATGAGCAAACTGAGCAGCCATGGGCTGTTTAATATCTGTATGATGTATACAAACTCTAAAGTTGTGGGAGTGATTTCTTTGATTATGTGTTGCTGAACAACCACCCTGACTGTATTTGGGGATAAGAGACAAAAAGATAACAGAGGAACCTGTGCACATTCCTGTACACATGCTTGAGTACATAAAGACATGAACACACACAGGGTGTGAGTGGTGGTGGTAGAATATGGGGTATGGTATACACAGTCTTTGGAGGTTGTAGTGCAGCCAGAGCTGATGAATGCTGGTCAGAGCTCAGGAACGTTTGGAAGGGTTTCAGCTTGCGTCACTTTTCCCGTCATCTGTGCAAATGGTGGCGAGGGAGGGAAGGAGAGAGAGAGTGGGAATGAAGTGAGAAAACAGAGGGAGAGAGATCAAGAGAGTAGGTGAGTGGGCTTCAGAGAGAGAGAGACAGTGAACAAGTAGGCACATTCTTGGCTAAATAAATTGCCAGTTTGTGTGTGTGTGTGTTTGTGTTTGTGCATGTGGGTTTATGTGAGAGAGTGTGTGCTCAAGTGTAAGCATGTCTTACCTGTTTGTGTGTTTGTGCGTCAGAAGTAGTGCTTGTCTAAATAAGGCCAGGGAGGAGGATGCTTATGAACAGCTGACAGGAATACTGTCTCACACTGCCCTCACAGCCTGAGACGCACACACACTCACAGAGTCAGTGCTTTATCTGGTATATTCCTTGGTCAGTGTGGAAGAACAATCTGAACTCTGTTCATGACAGAGCTGACCTTTGGGCTAGTCGTCCCCAGTTTTGTTTCTCTTGTGGTTCTGTGTTGATTAGGTGATTTTCTAAATAGCACAACCATGACCAGTAAGATGATAAGACTGAGAGGGTAATCAATTGTAGGTGTCTTGTTATTAACCATTTGAATAGTTTAGTGGAGCACGTTTTTGCCTAATGACATTACCATGTCTGAAACAGTAACCGTAGGAACACAAGTGTTTCAAATGGTAAAATTCCTAGATTTAGATTCAGATCAAAATGTCCTTTATTATCCAACAAAGGAGGGAAATTGTTGTACAGCCAATAGTATCCATGCATTCAATAACATCAACACCATTAAAATTAAGCATGCAAGTACAACAGCAATAGTGACGATCAACCATAGTTGATACATAAAATGCTCATCAAATCAACTTCTCTAAAAAAAAAAAAAAAACAATGGCAACTGGGATAATAGTTTTTAAACAATTTGTATTGCTCACTGGCCTGTTATATCTGTGATCTGACAGCTTGAATTCTCTGTGCAAGGGGTGGTTTAGATCAGCCAGGATTGACAGAGTTTCCCTAGGATCCAGTCTTGTACAGGATAGAAATATGTTTTTAATCTGTTCCTTTTCTTCAGGGTTAAAGGATAAGATCGGTATTTTTTTTATATTAACAGCATTTTCAACTCTCCCCATACAGACTAAAACTGACAATGAATGAGTGAGTATGGAGGATGGCACTGGTGATGCAGCAGTAGCTGAGAACGTGCTGTGTAGTTTTATAAATACACCAAAACATTGTATTGTAATTTGAATGGAAAGTTAAAGTGCCAGATAGTCTAATCCTAAATAGCCTATAGCAGTCATCTTCATGGACTGTGCAAAGAAGCAGTTGATTGCAGTAGAATGAGGTGTCTCAGGAGCAGCTTTAAGCTGGTTCAAATGATTAAGCACCCCCCCCCGGCTGCCACAGATACTGGAGAATCAAATGTGGATTCATCCACCGCTGAAAACAGTCCCCAACAAACACACTGTTTCCTCCTTGAGTCAGGTTTGCCTAAAGCTACAGTGGCCGGATGTTTAAGAATATTACTGAGCTTTTTCAGGTTTAGACCGTTTATTTTCTATTTTCATTGGGCAGCACGGTGGCACGGTGGGTAGTGCCATTGCCTCACAGCGAGAAGGTTCCGGGTTTGCGACTTTTCTGTGTGGAGTTTGCATGTTCTCCCCCTGCTTGCGTGGGTTTTCTCCGGGTACTCCAGCTTCCTCCCACTGTGCAAAGACATGTGGCTTAGGTTGATTGGTGTCTCTAAATTGCCCGTAGGTGTGTGTGTGTGTGTGTGTGTGTGTGTGTAATGGACCAGCAACCTGTCCAGGGTGTACCCTGCCTTTCGCCCAATGCTGGCTGGGATTGGCTTCAGCCCCCCTGTGACCCCGTTCGGGATTAAGCGGTATAGAGAGAGAGAGTATTTTCAGCAATCTCCATAGAGAAACTAATTGACAGTGGATTTATTCGACTCATGGTTAATGTCTGTCAGCTGTCAGTCCTGGATTAGCTTGTTTGTCTGTGCAATAGATCTCTGTTGTTCAAAACCAATGCATCTCCGCATCCCATAATGAAACCCCAGACCCCACATTGCTCCCCAAAGGCGCCATGCAGCCATAATTTCCTGAAATCAGAGTCAAATGCACATTGGTGAGATCTTGCGCGAGCTCTTGTCTTTGTTTACATTCCGCTAGCTCCTCACGTTCGGAACAGTTGAAGAAGCTGATCCAGGACTGACACACTGATGAACATTGACTGTGAGAAGATGCGACTGATTGTCCATTGTAGTCTCTGTATGGAGGTTGCTGAAAATGCTAGTAATATAGAAAATGACCAGCTTTATCTTTTAAAAATGTATTTGATTATTTTCAACAATTAACATCTTAAGTAAGAACCAATAGTAAAGACGTCAAAGTATGAAGTAGTATAGTAATAAGTATTTGTTGACAATAAGGAATAACTAAATAAAAAAACATTAGCTTTGTTTCAAAAAAAAGAAATCCAGACCAGAATCTGAATGGTGAACCTCTTTTTTTGTTCATTCTTGACCCTTTAGAAAACAAGCTAACGCTGCTAAATTCAGCTTGTCAGCTCAGCTAACTTGCTGGCATAGCTCATTTTCCAGTTAGCAGGAGGTTTAAGATTAGCTTCCTCCTCTCCTTTTCCTTTACCCTTTTCATTCGATTCTTCACTGGAGCCTTACTAAGCAAGAAAAGTGGATATTTGACTCCTCACATTGAGCTGTAACTTCATGAGAAATGTTTAACTCCAGCTCTACTCTGTTTTTATCTCCTTCATATCTTCTTTCCAGCTCATTTTCTGTTTCTTTAGCAAAGCACAGGCTGTGTAACTTAACAAATTAACACCAGTTGTCCTGTGCTGCAGCTTGTGATAGTAACAGCACATAGTACTGAACCAACACATGAGTTGGTAATCATTCACATTTTAATCTACAAATGCTACAGGAACACTTTTGTTACTCTACAGTAGAATTTGACCTTTATCTGTTGCATGAAAGCTTTTATATGAGCTATTTTAAATGCTTATTGTTGGCAGGCCTTTCTCAGGAAGTGATATGTCCTACATTTCTGGCAGTAGCAGTCACAGTATGTTGTTTCATGTTGTGGATGTATTAATAGAAGAACCAGTTAATGTAAGCAACAATAGTCACGGCCGAGCAAACAAAAGAGCTCCATCTTCATTAATGTTTCACTTCACAAACAGGAAATGAACAACAAAATAGAGTTTAACAGATTACATCTGTCAAATGTTTTCTTTTGAAACATTAAAAAAATGTCATATTTTAAGGAAGATGCACAGGTTTATTAAAATGGTGCTGAAAACATATTTTATCGTTTTTACTGCTGTCGTCTCTTCTTGTTTTGCTGCTCAGACCGACTGAATGACTAGTGCTCTATAAAACATAGCAGTTAAAATCTCGAGACAGCATAGACACATGTTAGATGCTTTAACGATCTGTTTACTCTTGGCTGTTTTATTGCTGTTTATTTTGTACTGTGACCTGAGTTGAATCCAGGTCTGACTTGCTTCTCTACTCTCTTCATCCAGGCTGCGAGGCTGAGAGCTGCAGGCCTGCGACATGTGAAAAGAACTTGACCCCTTGACCCTCTCAAGTCTCGCCCTGTAGGTCCGTAACCTCCTCACCTCCTTTGCTCTCCTGTCAATAACCTTTTCTGCCATCTTTCTTCTAAACTCTTTGTTTTCTCCCCTGTCTCCTCCTTGCTTCATCTCGATGTTTAGATCTGAGCTTGGTTGTGTTTCTGCAGCAGAACTCGCTTGAACTGAAGTTGTGACCGCGACCCGACACCCTCCTGCCTCGGGCATGCCTCAGGTAGAGTAGGAGCCGCGGTGAAACCACAGTCGTTCTTACCGGTCACCTCAGAATGATACACCTCACAGCCTCCCTGTTGGATTTGTGTCTCACTCTGTGTCTGTATGTGTTTCCTCCCCCTCAGCCGGGTATGAATGGGATGGAGCCTGCGTTTGGCGAGGCCTACGGGGGACACAGGGGTCTGCTTAGCCCCTACCCTCTGGTCATGTCGCCACAGGGGGGCAGGACTGAGTACGACCAGGTGAGACAGCAGGTGATGGAGAGCGCCACAAATTTCCTAGTGATATTTCCCAACTCTTAGTTTACTGACGAAATGAATTGGTGGCTTTTTAAGATGTTTTTTTTTTTTTTATTGAAATGGAATCCATGAATATGCTTCCGCCTTCTGAAAGGCTAGACATGCTTTGCTCACCCTTGTGTGTACAGTGGTGAGGGACGCACACATGTGCAGCTGGGGCCTTTTTGCTTTTGCGGACCGTCCTCAAAATTATGGCTTGCACGCAGCCATCCACAAAGAGTCCGCGTGGACCTGGGAAGATGACAAAACTTATGTCATTCAACCAAAGAGGACATGTGGATGCACAAAGCATGAAAAGCCCTTAAATGTCCTTGCTAACACACATTTAACCACAACATCACAGTAACTTGCAAAGCTCGTCTGATCTCTAATTTTGACCAATGTCATGCCTTACTTTGAATCAAGACAGAGTCCTTGAATTTCAACAAATAAGACCTTACACATTGTTGCCTAGCTGGTTAATTTGGTCTGAATCAGCCTCTGAGGGCCAGGAGTGATGTTGATTTTCCTCTATGGGGGGGGTTAGGGTAATTTTCATACATACTGCAGACCTCCACTTCACACTAATGAAAAACCTGTTTTGGCAGTTTAATGTCAGATTTTGGGTTTCACCGAATAAGACATTGAATGTCACAGGAAATTTTAAAGGGGGTCCATGGTAGACTTTCTCCATATCCTTCTAGCTGCTTATTCTGGCCATGGCCCTCAGGATATAGACAGTTGGTTAAGCAGTTGGCGAGCTGGTTAAATTAAGTTAACTGTGTTTACCTGGTGTCTCAGGAATTAGTCGGTCCATTAGGGCCAGGACTGAAAGATCAGGATCCAGTTTCCATTGAGACAGGGTTAGTTGCTCCACGAGAGGTCGGGTGATGTTAAAATTCCAGTGCACATGTTTGTCAGTGATTTTAATCCCATCCAGACTACATTTATCTGTGTACATCCATCGGTTCAGTGCATAGTCTGGGTTGTGAGTACTTTGCTAACCTGATAGCTTCATTCATTGCAAACAGCACCTGATTCTGTCGCATTGAGCTACGTGTCTTTACTTATTGTAAAAGGATACCACCATTTTAGAGTTTGTAGCTGCCTGTGTAAATAATTAAATTAATGATTAATGAGGAGTTTAACTACAGAGCAGCAAGGCAAATGTTTTATTGCTGACCTCCCTCTGTAATATTAAGAGACCGTGCTGACATGTGAGTAATGTTACAAATACCGGATCTGCCAAATTTAAGATGTCTCTGTCCCCCTTTAGAGCGTGCTCCTCATGCTAGGCTCCCCGGCATCACCAAGGAAACGACCCTTTGAGTTGCTAAGCGACCTGGTGGACGACGGTGGCTTCGGTGAAGACCTACACCCAGAGCGCTGGGATGTGTCTGCATTGGACGAGATGGCTCGCTACACCAAGCCGGGCCTCGGGGTGGGAGGGGAGCTGCTGGCTTACTCCGAGGAGGCCGTACTGATGGGCCGCTGGGGGAGGAGCCAGGAGGAGCAGGAGGAGGAAGAGGAGGAGGAGGAGGAGAGGAGGAGGAGGAAGAACAGGCACACACTATCTCCCGTCACCCAGGAAGTCCAGGCGACTGCTGCAGGGAGGGAGGAGGGGCATATCTCTGTTGCCACGACAACAGAGAGGGGGTTATGTGTTGTGGGAAGAGCAACAGGAGGGGGACAGGATGGGGGAATGTCAAGGGAGCGTACAGTGGAGGTGTATCAGGTGGCACAGGAGGAAGAGGAAGTGGTGGTGGCGGCGGCAGGTTTGGCTTTAGAGCACTGCAGCGAGGAGCACAACTACTCCCTGAGCCAGGGCGGGGAGCTGGGAACAGGGCCCAGTCACAACTCCCAGACAGACGAGGTGCGAGAGGGGGAGGCGCAACAGGACGTGCGGGGCAAGGAGGAGGGCCAGGCCATGGGTGAGATTGATCTGGAAGAGGAAGAGGACGAGGAGGAGGAAGAAGAGGAGGATGAAGAGGAGGAGGCAGAGGAAGGAGAGGAGGGAATGGAGGAGACGGTGGTGGAAGCTGAACTCTCCAGCACCTCAGAAACTGAATGTGGTGAGTTCTGCTTTCAGTGTGTCTGTGTGGTGAGGACATGTCAGCTCAACACAGCGCTGTCAGCAGCCCGCCTGCCCACGCGGAAACCATTTCAGTCTGTCGCAGGTCCAGAGGAGACCTCAGAGCGACACGTCCGACTTTTTGGCTGAGCAGGGGCACGTCTTATAGCAACGTTGCAGGTGTAATTCCCAGACAACATGCTGCTTTAGTGGCCACAGTATTACGGTTATTAAATGGCCTTAAAGGTTGGAATCTCTTCTATTCAGACACCAACTGTGAAAGCCACTTTGCTTTTGCCTTTGTTAAAAGTCGGCTGGTCTGTTGACCGTGTTAAAGTGGGTGTGAAAGTTGGTAGATTGTTAAACAACTGTTGCAGCAGAAATGGCTTTTTAAGCAGCTTCAAAGGCAACACAACCATGGCAGCTATAGGCTGCAGCGTTCAGCCTCATTACTTCTTTACCCCTCTGTTATCTCTCACACATAAAGCTGCACAGTAGAATTGAAAGAATTGCTCGATTGGTTCCACGGGCAATTATTTTGTTTATTCATTAGTCATCTGAGTAAGTTTGCTTGTTCCAGCTTGTCAAATGCTTCCATATATTAAAAAGCTGATTACCCCTGGGTTTTGGACTCTTGTTAAACAAAACAAGACGTGTGAAGCCTGCAGCTTGGGCTCCGGACAACTGGGCCTTTTTATTAGTTTTAGGCAGGCAATTATTCAATTAATAGAGATGAATCAATAATGAAAATGAGCTTTAGCTGCAGCCGTGGTCCACAGAACATGAGCTGTTGTCCTGGTGCTGTAGCGTTGACCTTCGTCCTCCGTATTCGCTGTGCAGCCACACGCCGCAGGAAAGAAAGTGGCCGACAAAGCAGCCATACAGCATGTTTTGAGGTAAAGTCAAATGTAGAAGAAGATCATAAAAAAAACACATAAAGCTACTTACCTTACTGCCTGACCTACCTCTCAGAGAGACATTCCCTCTCTGTGCATCTTGGAAATCCACACACATGCACTTGGACATGGACACGTGGACAGATACACCTTCATGTCCTAGAGTACAAGCAAATGAACAACCCACACTGAACTGCTGGTTATGATGGTTAGAATGGCTAAATACAAGCTGAATAACACATTTCATTTATCAGCTCAGTTTTTCATTGAATCCTACTGTAAGTTCAAAACTTTGTAGCAAGATTTCCTCCACCTTTCTCTGTGTATCTCCCACATTGTGAAGGTGGTCAAGTGCAGAAGCCTCAGTATTTTCCCTAGCAGTGTGGATGGTTTTGCTACCTGGGGGGTAAATACCCTTCTAGGACTATTTTGCTGTATTTTAGGCCAAATATGTTTAAATATGTCTGCTTCTAGTCGAAGAAAAATAAATAAAGAACTGAGCTTTTCTCCATCAGAATTATATTCTTGTGTGTGTGGTGAAGGAATTTGCAGAATCCAGGTCTAAATATTTATATAACCCTGGCTTTGGCCTTGAGGATGATGATCTCCCTCAAGGCTGTGAATTTATTTTAGCAGTGGAAATGTTTGGAAATGTTTGTCTCTAAATTCAGAGCTGCACAAATAATACACATAGTGACAGAAAATTACTGGATAGGTGATTTATTTTTAAACTTCAGTATTCAGGAAATAGTGAAAAGTTTTTAATAATGTGAATTGTTGAGAAATCCTTTTAAAAATCCAGGATCTACAGCATGGTTGCAACTAGTGATTTTTTTTATTTTTTTTTTTTATTAATCCATCAAATATTTTATATTACTCCATCAATCGTAACTTTTGGCCCTTTTTGAGTAATCTATCGATTATTTTCTGAGTAGTCAATTAATCCTTTGGTTAACTTACCAATAAATAATAACCCTTACATTAATCTTTCAACATAATATCTGCTGTATTTCCATTGAAGGCAGGTGCAGTTATCATTACTTTAACCTGACATTTAAGAATGAAGGAATCATTTCAAACTTTATCTTTTACCTAATGATACTACTTGTCACAAAAGTTAAGATGTTAAGATTTATGCAGTGTGTGTCCAATTAGGATGGAGTTTAATTACCATAAGGGTTGTGTCACATTTGAGTATGATTTACTTCAGTGCTAGTGGCGACTAGCCGTTAGCATCAGCTCCAGGGAGTCTTCTGTTAGTTCTTGACTGAAACACAACAGATAAGAACTACAGCAGTCACTGAGACCAACCAGCAATCGTCTTGTCGTTTTGATGTTTGAGAGTCCCAGGATGTTTTCTTTGAGGTGCATAGCAGATGTGCTGCTAGGCCATTTCAGATTTACAAAGCGTGCAGAGCAACATTTTATTAGGTCTCTTTTTAAAGAATTCCAACATCTGAAGCATCCAATCACCAACTCATTTCCATTAAAGGGGCATGTCGGTCCACAAAAGACTTCCAGGACAGATGTGCTTGTGTATCCTCCCTCATTGACCCACGAGAACATATAAGAGTCTTGGGACGTCCTCGGTCCTCGCTCGACTTGAACAATAAGGATCAAGGACCGAGGAGCAGTCGCACAAGGGAATTGGGATTTGCCCTTATCACTTGACCAGTGGCCTCACTTGCACTACACTTAATTAAATGGGGCTCTGCTGATTTTACATTTCAAAGTCAATTTACTAGACATAGTCATTTGCTGTCCAATAGCACATTAAAGCAGAACCAACTCCACAATAATAACTGGAGCTTGTTCCACAGATGAAGTTGCTGGTAGCTGTTACAGCATCAGCTAAACCCCTTAAATGTCATGTCTCCACTACAGGACATGAAATATATACACATACGTATATTAGATAACACACATGGAGACTGACTTCACTTCAGATTACAGATTTTCCCAGGCTCTTTCTGTGTCGGATGGTCCTCACGTTAGATAAACATGGGTGTCTTGTTGCGAGGTAACAGAGAGGTCGCTGGCTCGCTCTCTGTAAGACAGGTCTGGGTCATATTTCAATTGTTGCGAGGCACCATTGTTGCTCTCTGTTACTGCAGTAGTGTATTTGCTCAGTGGAGATATTACCATTAGCCCACAGCCATCGCAAAGGACTGTGTGATGGATGGAAAAAAGTGTGTGTGTGTGTGTGTACACAGACAGAGCTGAGAGAATGAGTGAGTTTAGGAGATTGGACAGAAGATTGAAGAGCATGTTGGGTGTGTGTGTTTATGCAAATGTGTAAAACAGTGAGCCATGGAGCGAGAGATTGAGTTGAGGAGAGAGAGTGCAGGCAATGGTGCTATGTGCACATTGGACGAGGTGACATGATGTTACATAAGCCATCTGTGTGTGGGGTGAGGTGGGGAGTGGGGGTGGCGGCCATCCTTGGCTGATGGCTACAATAGGACGTAATGGTCATTAACTTTGAGTCAGGTTTTATCCAGCTGAAAATGACTATTTTCATTATGGCAGTGCATTTTATTTTTTGAATCCTGCTCTGGTGGATTTGAAGAAGTGCCTCTCCTGTCCTCCTGCTGGTAGAGCTCTGCATGTTGTATTATTTATGATGCTATTATTCACGGCTCTGTGCGCCCGAGGCTAATTGTCAGTGACGTCTGTGCGCTCATGTAGGTGTCTGCCTCTGAAACATCATACATGCATACAGTTCTAGCTGTTGGTGGCTTTGTCATTAAGACATACAGCGTGTGTTTGTGGATTAGGGTTCACAGTGTGATTTCATTCCAGGCAAATGTAAGCATTAATACCTGTCAGTTCTGATTATGGTTTATCTTTCACATTAAGATCCGGGATGTTTCCCTTCTGTTGAATACCTTATGTGTGCTGTCAGTGTTGTCCACCTTCATAGCAGTGGATGAGATTCAGTTTTCTTCATAATACAATAATAAACTGGGACGGAGTACTGAGTGTATGTGGACCTGGGTGTCTGTGGTAGATCTGAAACCTCAGGCGATTCTGATGAATCATCTGAGCCAGATTACATCAATATTTATTTGATAATAAAAAGTCAAAATTCATGGAATATTTCATTTTCTTAATGCTGATTCTAACCTAAGGTATTATTTCTGGCACTGTAACAGGATATTAATGTACTTTAAGGATATTTAATGTTGGCAAATGGGTATGAAAACTCAAAATGTTGAACGGTTGCTGCCAATTAAACTAAAAGTTGCACCTGGGTATCATTTAGCTCTACAGAATGTCATGAAGTGTGTTATCACAGGTCAAAGAGTTCAAACTCTGACAATTCAGCAGTTCTGTCGCTATAATTATAATTCATGGTGAATGAAAACAAAAGATTAAATCAGGCAAAATCAGAGAACTGAAGCAAAAGAGAAACTATCATTTGCATATAGCTGCATGGCCAGGAAATCAACATGTGGATGTTCTAGAGCCGCCAAAGGAACCTTCCCTGGAAAACTGGGACCTTTTGCGGAATTTTGCGGAATTTTGTCGAGTCTAAATTTACATTGGCAAGAAAAAGTATGTGAACCTCTTGGAATTTCATGGTTTTCTGCATTAATTTGTCATAAAATGTGATCTGATCTTCATCTAAGTCAAGAGTACTGATGAATATAATGTGCCAAAAATAACAACACAAAAACAATTCTGATCTTTCATGTCTTTATTGAGAACAACTTATTGAGAACAACCATAAAAAGGGGGCAGTGCTAGTGGAAAAAGTATGTGAACCCGAGTTAATGACCTCAAAAAGCTAATTGGAGTTAGGTGTTAGCATACCTATTATTGTTAAGAAAATGAGTTTGGAGGTGTGGACTAGAGCTACTTGGACTGATAAAAACCACTCAAACCTTTTAAGTTTGCTCCACACAAAAAGAATATCACATAAGTGAGCTACGCCTTACCAAAAAGAGCTTTCAGATTTACAATCAAGAAATGTTGATTTACTTAAAGCTGGAAAGGGTTAAAGTGACTTCAAAGACTTTAGAAATTCACCAGTCTACAGTTAGACAAACGATCTACAAATGGAGACACTTTGGGACTGTGGCTACTCTACCAAGAAGTGGGCACCCGGTCAAAATGACCCCAAGAGCACAACGAAGACTCATCAATGAGGTAAAGAAACAACCTCGTCCCTGGTAGGCTAGTGGTTAAGGTGCAACGCTCCCGGGTTCAAGTCAGGGTTGTGTCAGGAAGGGCATCCGGTGTAAAACACGTGACAAATGTCAATATGCGAGTCGTCAGTGTGAAGATTCGCTGTGGCGACCCCTAAAATGGGAAAAGCTGAAAGTGACTTTCTCTCATTCATCAGTACTCTTGGCTTAGATGAAGATCAGATCACATTTTATGACAAATTAATGCAGAAAACCATGAAATTCCAACAGGTTCACATACTTTTTCTTGCCACTGTAGTTCCTGGGGGTGTGCAGTAGTTCATCCTCTCAAAGTCCCTAGTCAGGGGGTAGTAGGCTAATTTTTGAAGGTCTAAGAATGATGGAGGTAAGGCCTGCAGTGCTGAACGCCACTGATCGGTCAGATACCACATAGCATTTTTAAAACACCCCTGTCGACCGTGCCACTTTTGATACATCAGCGGGCTAATTTGTTTTTATCTTCCTGAGGTCCTGCTGTGAAAATCTAAAACTCAATGCACTTGAGGGACGTCATTGGTCAAGAGCTAAATATCTCAACAGCTACAGAGTGAATAGCCATTCAGTTTGGTATGGACGTTCATGGTACCCAGAGGATGGCTGCAATGTTTTGTCCCGAATTTGGCTCATTTCAAATGTGTCCAGCACTTATGTTTTTGAAAATATATTGTGAAATGTAATAGAAATTTCATTTTTTTATAGTTAATCTGAATTCCTAGAGAATAAATCCCATTGATTTTCGCCCTCGAACCAAAGTTTACAAAATGCTAGTGGTAAATTGCAGAGATACACACTAAACAGTTTTCTTTTCTGGTGTCTTATGAGCAATTTTAGATTCAAGAAGCATCAAATATGAGTATATTGTCGTATATTATAGTCGTTTAATTCACAAAATGATGTTTTTGGCATGAATTTCTAGATGAATTACTGATTAAAATAATTGCTTGAATTCCTGTGACAGAGCTGCAGAACGTTTACTACATTTGCATTAATGCACAAATTCAAAATATTGTGTGTGTGTTTTGTTCCTTCAGAGGTGGAGGCAGAGCCAGTGAGGAAGCCAGGCGAGCGCCCCTCGAAGCGCAGCTGTTTCTGGGAGTACAGACGCGCTAGAGAATCAACCACAAAGAAGAAGCTGGGCGGAGATGTGCACTGGTCTCTGTCGTGGAGCTCCAGCACTCTCCCGAGCACACTGTACCGCAGAGAGGGTGAGAACACCGCGGGGTTGATTAATGCAGTGTCACTTATAATCCTGAGACCAATCAATGAACAAAACAATGGATCTGTGGACATTTTGATTATTGTATGAATAAGTAAGTCAGAATGTACTAATTTATTTAGTAAAAATACAGTGTTTGTATTGAGATGCTTTTTTATTGTCGCTCAGACAAAGGAAGGTTTGTGATCAACTGTTTAATCAGAGAGATTCAAACACCCTTGACTGAGTGCTCCTTAGCAGCAAGAGTCATTAAAGCGGCATTCACACTGCAGCTAACAACGTCCCATTTCTTTCATCCCATGTGACGTAAATTGGATTGGGACCCCCAGGCTTGTGCCCTACATACAACTTTTATGTCAAAATCTGATTTTTTTTTTCCATTGTTTCCCTGATAAGTAAATCTTCTCTCAGAAGCAGACGTGACTGTGCAGCACATTGGCAGCACTGCTGTTCTGCAGTACATTCCAATGCGTTACTGTTTGTTAATGGACTTACAAATGCTCTTGTGGGTTTAGATTGAACCAAAGAGGGCTGAAAGACTTGTAGGGGCACACATTGAATTCATTCTGTGATCCACTGGCCAGGCAAAAAAGGGCGCCGCAAAGCTCGCAAGACTGACGCCAGTGACCTGACACCAAACCCTCAGAAGCTCCACAACATCGGGGAGCAGCTGCAGAAGCTCAACGCTGCTATCGACGGAATGGGTCCAGTCAATGACCTGCCCGCTGTGGCCCGAGCCCGGTCCCGCAAGGAGAAGAACAAGCTGGCCTCCAGGTACCTGACTCCACTCACTGCACTTCTGCACCAAGTCAGAGCCCTGGAGACTTTCTGTATCGACTTATCAGACATGAATGGGCATTTTGAGAGCTTTTCAGTGTTTGTAAGTTGTTGGAGGAGAATCCTGCAGGGCTTTGTGGTTTGGTATCCCCAGTCTTTAGCCTTGTCAAGACCGGTTGACCTTCTAATGCTATTTCCGGAAGGCATGGAAAGACATGAATACATTAAGAAAACATCAAATCTCCATGGAGTTTAAGGCATCAGTTAAGTTTGATTACAATCTTTAAGTAAATCTAAGAAAACTGGTCTTATTTCTTATATATTGCAGTTTTATTCTGACGAGGAAGCACCTGATCTCTCAGCTCCCTGAGTGGAGCTCAGCCTTTTTACATTTTAAACATTTACAAGATGTGCCTGAGGGTTATATACTGTTCACTACACAAATAATTAGAAAATGTAGGTCATTGGTGTATTTTAACGAGTTTATCTTGGATGTTATCATGATGGAATAAATGAAGGGAGGCTGGAGGGAAGCAGAGGAGATGGGATGGAGGAAAGCAGGATGAATAGAAGGAAATCAGGGCAGGACTGAGGAGGCAGACAATGAGAGAGAGGAGGTTCATATAAAGTTCATCTGTGGAGGAAGGGAGGAGGAGAATTTGAAGGAGAGGACATTATTACAGGCAGTTTAAAGAGGAGGGCAAATTTTGGAAGATGTTATTATTACAAACATGTTAAACCCAATGTAAACACAGCATCAGATGGAAAGTTGGAATGGAATCAAAGAAAAAGTGACAGGAAATGACAGACACAGTGAAGGGAGGGGGGCAAGGATATTTACTCAGTAATTGAGTTCAGGTTTTAATTTAATATGCAGGAATTTCTTCTGTGAAGATCCTCTGTCTGAGACCAGGCCAGAGTTGGCAGTGGGCTCATCCTGATCGCCTCGAGACCTTCCCTCTTGTTCATTCTCCAGTCATGTTCAAAACAACCTGCCTGGGTGGAAAAACACTCGCCCAGTTCTTAGTAGTGGTGCCCCCAGTTTGGCTGGTTACTCCAGCAGACACAGTTAGTGTTGGAAAGGTCCATGGTCTGGTCCCTGACCCAGTGATTAGTCTTGCAGGAACACTGTCATTTTAGACAATACAGTTGTTTTGCTTCTTACTGGGAGTTATGTGAGGCAGTTCATATCAGTTTCATCTCTGTGTGTTCAGTACAAAGGCTAATTCAAGAAATGTTTGCTGTAACCTAGTTGAGCATGAAGGTTTTCTCTTGATGTCTTTTTTTAAATAGTTTTGTATAGCCTAGCTTAGCTCAAAGACTGGAAGAAGGTAGAAACTGTTAGCCTAGTTCCATCAGAGGCAACTCAAACTGTTTAATCATTCTTGAACTTAATTGTGGCAGTTTTAGTAGAATCTACAATATGTAAATCAGGCAGTACTAGTGCTGTTGGAAAAAGTATTTTCCTTTTTGAGAGGAGGCTAGCAATTTCCACCTGCCTCCTCTTTGTGCTAAGCTAGGCTAACACATCCAGAACCAAGCTCTTTACTAAACACACAATTATTTTTATTTAAGTGACACATCAGCATTAACAGCAGCACCATTTCAGGCAGAAATTCATGAATTGCTTTGGATTTGCCAGGACCAGGAGGCAAAGCAAACCTGGGTGCAGCTTTTGCAAACCTGTTGAACTTCGACGACATGACAAATGGGATTGTGCACTGCTGCACTGTGCCTGCAGTGCGGAGCTTTGATGGAACAGTCCAAAATAGCAGAAGCTATTATATCTAAATTTATATAACCCTGCTGTGCTAGAGTATAATTTGCTCCACAAAAGAGATGCAGCATGGTTTGCAGTGAGACATGATTGGATGGAGGGAGATTGAATTAACTACCTTAATTTATTGCCTTTAAGAATCAGTACAACCAGAACCACCTTTTTCAAAGATGGGCAGATAAATTTTGCTTTATCGCTTGTTAAAGACAGCAAATAAACATGTTTCTCAAAATGTCTGACTACTCCGCAACTCCTCAGTCTGTCCCCAACTCGGCTCTCAAATAGGTTCTTTTAAGATTTCTATCCTGCAACAATGCCACAACACAGATACCCTGCTGTGGACCGTATGAGCCATTCTTGTCTTGAAGGCACGCTTCGTTTCATTATTTGATCTCACACAGGTAAAGCCACAGGTTTGGTACCTCATGCCAATAGCAAAGGCCTTTAATTGGTGAATGTGTTTCTCCTCCCTTCAGGCAGCCACAGGTTTCTTCTCATTCAGCATGCCGATTGCAGCTGCAGGTGATCTATCACAATGAACAGTGAGTCTAATTTAGGTACTGTTTTTGGTATTGCAGTAGGAACTGTTTGAATTTTGCACAGATTTTGCTCTCAGCATCATATGGGGAGGAAGAGAAACACTTTTACCAATTTAAAAGCCTGTGGTACATCACAGGTTTGACTTTGTCAACTGAGTGGTTGTATGGTCGTTTGTAGTACAAAAAGAAAAATGTGGCTGAGGCGTAATCAGACTGAGAAACACAGGAGTATTCTGTCTACCATTACTGGCCTGCAAATACTTTGTGTCCTTAAGTTTTATTTAGCTGACTCACAGCTGCAGGGAAAGTGAAATTCTCTATAGTCCCAGTGAGATGCATTAATATTTCACATGCATTGATTGATTCATTCTGCTGCTTTTCGACTCCAAATATTCTGAAACCAAACTGGTCACATTGCTTCAGAGTGGTGGTGTCAAATGATACTCGGAGCAGCAGAGGGATGAGGGAGGCTTTCTGTCACTCTCCCTCAGAGTTTGGAAACAGATCCTTCACTCATCGCTCTCCAGCTGCTCTCAGTAACATGATCACGTGGAGACTGGGAATGTTAGATCAGAGATTGCTGTTCCAGAAAATGACTGCGTTTTCTTGTCCTCTGTTTCCAGGGCCTGCCGGTTGAAGAAGAAGGCCCAGCATGAAGCCAACAAGATCAAGCTGTGGGGGCTCAACCAGGAGTACGGTCAGTACCTGAGTCTGTGTGCACACATGTCAAAGTCCTGCTTTGAAGGATTACAGTATGTTCTCCTGTTTATGGATTGAGAGCACTGTAAACCTGGGGGCTTTATCAAAGGTTTTAAAAGTAATTTAGATTTCTAAATTCCTGGAAAGAACAGTAAGGAGTGTGAAGTTGTACCACATGGAAATGTGCTGCCTGCTCTCATCATGGATGTGTTAAGGGAGAACATGTAGGAAAGATGCATTTGCGGGGCAAAGGCATTGCTAGCTAGCAAACTAAAGGCTATAGTAGATGTAGTAGCTCATGATCTGTGATCAATTTAGGTGTTTATGGAGCCACTTCTCCTTTGTGTTGGTGTTTGAGAGTGTCACAGCAGTGAAACAGAGAGCCCAAGAGAAGTGAAACTAAAGTTTACAGTGCCTATGTTCGTTAATGTCCGTGCAATAAAACCTTTGCCAGTAAAAAAGCCAGTCGGCGTTTTTAATAAACACCTGCTAAACAAGCATAAACTTGCAGAGAAGTGAAAATTTTGGTTTTAACCCCAGTCTGTGAGCTTGTTAAGCTAACAGCAAAGAGCCAACTACTACGGTAATCTGCCCAGTGCAGCAGCAGCGTCACAGTCCACTGTGTGGCCATTAGCTCCGAGCTCTGTGCATTCTAGCATTTATAGCATTACAGGTCGGGGTGAGGCATTACATTAAGGATGGCTCCAGTGCCTCATCAAGCCATGCTTTCTACCCCACCCAAAAAAATCCTGAATTCAAAAATGACATAACAGTCTACCATCTTGTTTCCTCTGGCATTGTCTGAAGCTCTGTAGTTCCACTGTGTTGACTGGAACACTCGAATTGGGGTCAAACATTCTTGCTGCTTTCAGCATCATCCTGTTTGCTGTACTAACACATCTGATACCCTGCTTAATTATTAGCTATTCTGCTGACTTTGAAGCTGTAGTAGCTGTGGGTGAAAACAAGCTCCTTTTCAAACTAAAGAACCCAGCGTTGTTTACAAAAGCAACATGATTCAGAAGAGAGGAAGGCAATATTTCAAAGCATTGTCTCTTGCAACCACCTTGGTCGGCTAACAGAAAACCTCCAGAGCATGTTACCTCTGCTAAGCAGAGGAACCCTGAATGATAAATACTGTGACACAGTGCCTACACAGTCGGTGTAATGAAAGCAGCAGCAGCAGAGGTGGTGTCAGACCTACAGTACATTTGTGTCTGAATAGGATGCATTGAAGGGCAGTGTTGAATGTAGGTCGCCCATGTTTTAACAGTGCACAGTCACTGTAGTTAAGTGCATAAAACAGAAGAAAATAAAGCTGAAGCATAAAAATATGTTGCCAGTTTGCAGTGTTAAAGGATGAGACTGGACATTTTCTGTATTCGGTATTAACAGTATTGTCAACACTCCCCATACAGAGACTCAAACCAGCAATGATTTGCTTCTATTCACTGTTAATGTCTGTCAGTCCTGGATTAGCTCATTCATCTGTGCCACAGACCTCCATTGTTGTTCTAAAACAATTAAAAACACACCACTGCACTGGGGAACACACGGTATTTCCTCATTACTAAACACACAACCCAAATATTCCATTCAGCCCTTATCTATACCACTTATTCCTGAAGAGGGTTGTGGGGGTGCTGGAGCCAATCCCAGCTGACACTGGGCGAGAGGCGGGATCCACTTGGACAGGTCGCCGGTCTATCACAGGACTGACAGGTAGACAAACAACCACACACACTCACATTCATTCCTACAAGCAATTTGGGAGGAAGCCGGAGCACCTGGAGAGAACCCATGCAGGCACAGGGAGGAACATGCAGAGTCCGGACAGAAAAGCCCCGGGCCGGTCCAGGCTCAAACCTGGACCCTTCTTGTTGTGAGGCGACAGTGCTAACCACTGTTCCAAACCAATATTTGTCAAAAATATCCAGAGATCTAATGCGTTGGGCCTTTGATTTTTGCTTACTGCAGATGCTGTAAAAAGTTATGGCTGTTAGTCTTTGGGGCAACATTTTTAAAAAATAGTACGGTCTTGTGTTTCATAACATGGCATCCAGTGCGGCAGTGTGTTTCCCTCATGTGTTTTTGGGCAACACTGGAGGACTGACAGACATTAATCATGAGTATAAGCAAATTATTGTTGGTTTTAGTCTCTGTATGGGGACTGTTGAAAATACTATTAATATAGAAGATGACCGGCCTTATCTTTTAAAACCCAAACCTCCATGTCGAGCCACAGCCCGACATGGAGACACGATGAGCCATTTCAGGGGTTTCCTCAGGGAAACTGGACCCCGGCTTGTTCAGCAGCCATGCTGGGTAAATTGTGTGTCCACAAGTGATTATCAGACTAACTTCAGTTCACACTCTCTCTGTCCTTCATACGTCCAAACCGATGTGTTACTTTTACAAAGTTGTTTTTCCAGCTCGAGACGTTCCTCTTTCTTCTCTTCACTGTGATCAGTCACTGTCATCTCCTGTACTGAATCAGGCTTGTCTTCTTAATGATTTTGTTAATAGAAGATGTTTAATATTTCACCTTTGTTGTGTGATGCAGGGCTTCTGCCCTCTGTTCTCCTTTTCTTAAAAGTGCTATTATTCCTTCTGACATTACCAGTTCACTGCAGGTTACGCCGGCAGACAGAGAGCAGATTTTTCTGACTGTAAGAAAGACCTTCCTGTTGCAGTTTATTTATTGGAAATTGTGTGTCTTCTTCAGAAATGGAGCTGTGTTGAAAACCAAGTCAAAATGATGTTTACTTCACACATGGCAGCAGTTACAGTCACAGAGGATGAAATCATAACAAAGCCTTTTCTTTTGTTTCCACGGTGTTCCTCCATTATAAAACAAACAACACACCTCACATGTGTTATTTCTGACAATGCAACCCTCTTCATACTAAAAAATAAAATACAAATGGCTGAGAAACCATCCTTCGAAACCCGTTTTAAAGAGGCAGTCAGGTTAGCGCAGAGAGCGGATAGTAACAAGTTCACGAGCACATAAACAGGCTGGAAAACCTGAGAAGGGTGACTTCACCTCGTTCCTGTTAATAAACACCTCGACTCTGCCAGGTCTATCAGCCATGCCCCGCTTGCCACCGCCTCCTCGGCTTGTTTGCTTCAGCCTCTGAATTCAGACCTACAGAAAGCAGCATTAAACATCTTTACTTTGTGTTTGTTTGTTTTGTTTTTGTCCTAGGCTTTTTTTTACATTTCACGCATTCCTGATTCCAGCTCTGTATGCCATCGCT